CTGACTATCCGTCAGCATTTATATCCCTCTTCAACCTACTCAGTATAGTAGTCAGTTCTAGCCACTGTACCACAGAACCACCTGGCAAGTGACATTCAAGCATCTTTGTGATTGCTGCTAGGTATAATCTGCTGTCTTCTCCCAGTACTTTATATTTAGGAATAATATTATTTTTAGTATTGTATTTTACTGACAACTAAATGTCAATTAAACAAAAAAATATGAATTTCTCCATTCTACTCACATATCATTTAAACATTTATCTTGTACCACAGTGATTCACAATATGGGAAAACCTCAAAGCATATAAAGTTGTTAAACATGGAATTGAGTGGTACAGCTCTTGCCTAACATGTATGAGGTGCATGGTTCGGTTCCAAAATTGTAAATAATAAACAAGCAATTAAATTCAAAATTGATACTACAAAACTATCACAAATTCTCTCTATGTCAGCCTCCCAAGTGTTGGATTACAGACATGTGCCACCATGCCTGGCAGGAATATTTTTTAAAGGACATTTTCTCTAACTTTTTAAGGCTGGATCTCCATAGAGATGTAAGTGTATTAAAGTATTCAAATTTTCAAAAGGGAAAAATTTAATCACTAGCTAAAAAGTCAAGTAGTTTGAGGTTATCTTATCTGAAAAAGAAATTACAATTTCTAATTACTTTGAAATCAGTAACTTGAATAATTCAAGGCTTAATTTTCAATTTACATAATGCTATTACAAGTAAATCTGAAGATTTTTAACTGAAAAATTAAACTAATATAAAGTAAATGAAATAGTACAAACATTAAAAATAATGATTTAGGGGGGCTGGGGAGATGGCTCAGTAGGATAAGTGCTTGACTGGCAAACACAAGGATCTGAGTTCAATCCCTGGTTCCGCCAAAATTAAAAAAAGAAAAAAAAATAACTATTAAAAAACTGATTCAGATACACACTGAATTACTTTAACATACATGAGAAATGTTTCTGGCTAAAAAAAAGAGGTCACAACATAACACCTATAATATTTGCCTTGTGTAAAATTTGTTATGTATGAACACACTGATATTCATGAAGGAAATACATCAAAACGTTAACAATACACTAATATGATTGCAGGATGAAAGGTAAATGTTGCTATCTTATTTATAATATATTTATGATCCCCCTCACCAAAAAAGAAATTTTTATATCTAAAAGAGTAGCTTTAAAATGTAAAACACAATGTAACCAGAGATGTTCAAGTAGCCAAAACAGCAGATCTAAATACTAGAACTTTGTATATGTAACAGTATACCCAATCAACAGATTAGTGGAGCACCTAAATTAGGTCTCATTTCTCCTTTTTTTTTGACACAGATCATTTCTTTTCTCTTTTCTTTTAATTTTTAATGTATTTACTGCAGGGTCTCACTACACAGATCAGACTTACAATGAGCTTCCTGTTTTCAGCCTCCAAAACACTGGTATTACAGGCAGCGCCACCAAGTCCAGTCTCAGTCGCAGTCGTAGTGCACCCCGGGGATGAGGGCAACACGGTACCCCAGTCCCTGTGTCTACCTAAGCAGGCCCTTTAATGCCCTGAGTTATCTGGCCAACCCATGCTTTTTTTTGGGGGGGGGATACTGGGGATCAAACTTGGGACCTTGTACTTGTCAGGCAGGTGCTCCTTGTACTTGTAAGGTGGGCGCTTAGGCAGCTGAGCTATCTCCCCAGCCCCTGACACAGATCATTTCTAACTGCTTTATTTAACATCATTCAATAATACTGCAGAAATTTAACCGCATTATCTTCTATGTAATTCTTATTAACCTAACCTAAAAGTAAAATACAACACCAACAATGTGGTAGCTACTTTAAAATTCTCCTTTAAGGATATAACACAGTTTCCTTTTCTTTTACTTTTTTTTTTTTTTTTTTTTTGGGGGGGGGGAATGGTCTACAGGGTGTTGAGGGTCTCACTACTAGATCAGACTCATAGTAATCCACCTGTTTACAGCCCCTCAAGAGCTGAGATTACAGGCTGCGCCACCACGCCCAGTTTCAATTGCATCTCAGTGAGCCTCAGGGGCGGAGCTGGCACAGCAGGCCTGGGGATTGAACCCTAGCCCCTAATCCAGTGAGCTATTTGGAAGGCCCTTACTTTATTTCTTTTCTTTTCTTTTCTTTTCTTAAGAACTATGAGGTATTCACTAAGCCACATTGCTGGTTCTTTTTAAATTCTATTTATTTTGAGACAGGGTCTTGCTAAATCACTAAGCTACTCAGGCTTTAATTGTGATCTTCCTGTCTCAGCCTCCCAAAGGGCTAGGATTACAGGAGTGATCCAATAACACTTCTGACTGGGTACAACATAATTATTTTTTTACAAGGGGAGGGGCTTTAATATTGCTCATAGAAAGACATCAATAATAACTCATGGTTATAAACAGGAAAGTCAGGCCATTTGAACTCATATGTCTATAGCCATGCCACCCAGAATACACCTGATCTCGTCTGAACTAATGGAATTTGAAGTTATTACTAAAAACTGAATTATTTTTTATGTAAATGGTAAGGCTTCAAAGATAATTTTTCGGGGGCCTGCCCTTTAGCTCAGTTCTTTAAGTGGCTGCTTCCACAAAGCAGTCAGGCTCAGGTTGCTGTGGTTCGATCCCCACAACTCAAGCCAGCCAAACCTGCCCTGAAGGCATGAGGAGCAAAAAAAAAAGATAATTTTTCAAGAAAGCAAAAAAGGCAAATAATTCAAGCTTCCAAATTTAAGATATGTTCCAAAAATCTTTCAAACAAAAAAGATGTTTAACTGCTACAGGCTTAACATGATTTGCTCACATCTTTGTAGTCATATATCACTGAATGTGACACAGCTGTCACCAGACATCAACCATCACCTGGAAAAGTGAAGAAAAGTAATAAATGAATGTTCTGTATAACCACTAAGATTCTGCTTAGCTTAAGCCGCAGTACTCTGTAATCATGATGCCTACAAATCTTACTTTCTCAAAGCAACCACCACTCCAAGTTGTCATTCCTCCATCTTAAAGAACAACAAAAAAGTACAAAAGCATGCAGAAGTAAAATTTTGATGAATGTCAACAAAAAAAGTGACTCATGTTAGCATCTGATTAAAACACCAATAATATTAGTTTTCATACAGTAATAATTGTTCTGGGTTTTTAACAGTGAAGTTTGTTTGGTAAAGCTGACTTCTTTGACACTGTCTATAACAATCTTGATGGTATACCTTATACATACTGAGGTATACAATCAAAATAATTTTGGGGATGGATGTTACACTTATGTGGCAAAATTATAGTCATATAAGAATTTGTAGAAGAAATGAAAAATAGACTATGCTTAAAGAAAATATAGGAAAAGAGAAGCCAGGAAAAACAAACAAAAACAACAGAGAGCAAATAGATATGACACCCAACTAAAAAAAGAAAAAAAAAAAAACAAGGCCTCAGAGCAAATCCGGAAAAGGCTGAGATACTGAGGACAGACAACACTAAAATAAATAGGGTAAGGAAAAGTAAATGAACTAAGTGTGAAAAGAAGAAGAACAATTCATTTTTTTATATATGGAAATTCAGCCAATAATGTAGATGACATATAAAACCAACCTGGTTTTCTTCCTGCACAACTCTATACTGCTCCTTCCAAATGGTGATTTTGGAAGCTTCATCTTTTCTCAAGGCTCGTTCTTTCTTTAGCTCTGGGCTCCAAAAGGTCTTGATGCTATTCATTGAAGAACTCAATTTACTCTCCTTTACTTCTACATCCTTTCGCAAGAGATCATTTTCCCTTAATACCTCCTTCAGCTGTGTCTGCAAATCCATGATGGTATTATCTCTTGCCTGACGAAGAGAGTGAGGTACGGTAGATGCCAAACTCACAGGAGGGAGGTGATGCTCTCCAAATGCTATGGTGTCACTAGCAACTCCACTACTGGCTATATTGGGGCTACTGCCCATAGCAGTCATCCTAACACCGTAAGGCAGATGTCCCCCAGAACGGCCAAGTGTCATGGTGCTTTTAGGTGTTTCTGAACCTACATTTTCATGGTCACTTAGGTACATAGGGCCAGATGTAGCATAGGCAGCATTTAAGGATTGTATATTCTCCATCGAAAGGGTTTTGCCACTGCCACCTCCAACACTGCTTCCAGAACTCCCTCCTGTACTATTGGTCCGACGATGACCTAAGCGAGGAGAGCGTGGAAGCCTGGGTGAACGCCCAGGGCTCTGGTTGCTTGGCTCCACCTTTCCAACTGAGCGAGCACTCCCATACATGGCTGCAAGGTGAACTTAGGTGCCAAAAGAAGAGTATATAGAAAAAAAAAAAGGAACTCTGTGAGGTTTCGCTTGGTCTGTAAGTCAGCTTAAAGCTATCAGAAGTAACAGGTCACCAGGTCCAGTCTTGAAGAAATATCTTACACCATATCTGTAATGAAAAGATCATACAATCATAAATATTTCCCTTCTCAGAAACATTCCATTATCCCTAACTTGAGAAAGATCTCCCTTTTGCCATCCATTTACACAGAGATTCAAGAAGTATTTAGAGTACAATGTGTTTCATGGTAAATACCACTATAAAAATTTAATATAAAATGCCATATAAAAATTTTATGTGTCATAAAGCTGGATAGCAAAAATATATTACAAAACTGGAAAAGAAAATAATACAATTTTATTGACTAGCAAGAGATAAAATTCAACATCTGAATATATAATTTTCAAACTATAACCCTATGACTATCAACTAACACATTATCAGGACTAGTAACAGAGCTGAACACACTGAGCAGAAACAAGCTCAATGTATAAATTTTAATACTTTCATGTACATTGGTAATAACAATTAGAAAGTGTAGTTTTTAGTTTTAAAAACTTTAAATTCCATTCACAATAGCAACAAAAGTAGCCAGGCCTGATGGCACACACCTATAATTGCAGCATTCAGGATGCTGAGGCAGGAGAACAGCCATAAATTCAAGGCCAGCCTAGGCTACATAATGAGTTTCAGCCTGAACTACATATAGAGACCCAATTGCAAAAAAAAAAAAGAAGAGAGACTGGGCATGGTGGCACATGCCTGTAATCCCAGCACTTGGGAGAGAGAATCACTACAAGTCCGATCTAGTAGTGAGACCCTTCCCTAAAATATAGAAATAAATAAATAAATAAATGAGATTCTTTAGGGGGCCGGCCAAATAGCTCAGCGGATTAAAGTGCCAGTTTAGGCAGTCGCAGGGGCGGGGAGTTCCATCCCGGGCCTGCTGTGCTGGCTCCGCCCCTGGGGCTCACTGAGAAGGCAATTGAGAATGGACATGGTGGCCCGGGCCTGTAATCCCAGCTGGAAGGCTGAAAACAGGAGGATCTCTAGGAGTCCGATCTATGCAGTGAGACTCTGCGCACCCCGTATACCCTGTACTAAAATACCAAAACAAAGACAAAAAAAAAAAAAACCCTACAAAAGTACTTTTACATAACCTTAACCAAAACATCCATACATTTTTGAAAACTATAAAACTCACTGAAAGACATTAAAAAATAACTGAACAAAAGAAAGTTATACAAGTTGATGGATGAGAACACAAGCACTGTACAAGAGTCTGCACTTCCTCAACTATTTAGCATAATCCCAATGAAAATATCTATAGGATTTTTGAAATAACTCAAAAAACAAATGGGAGGACAAAGTTAGAATGACCAAAATAATTTAAAACAAATGTACAAAAAGGAAGCTACCCCAAACACCAAGACAAATTACAGATTTATATTCCTTTGTTTGTAATACAGTAATCCAAAAAGATCTTAAGATAAATTTTTAAATCATTCAGCAGCCACA